TAGCTTGTTCTCTCTAATATATGGATCGCCAAGCGTACTAACGCATGCTGAGCCGACTCAGCTTATAATGACCGCATATGTAGCAGCAGCAACTGCGCACCTCAAGATTTGAGACCTATAAACACGAAGTACTCAGGAACTCGGTGAAACAGTACTGTTAGAGCTTAGCTATTCGTGACAACAGGCTATAGTGAGTGCGCAGTAAATGGATTACTTCAGAGCCTTGCCGTCATTTTGAGGCTCCCGTCACTTGAAGCATTCCATGGTAGAATCATACACTCAACTTCGAGACGCGGTCCATCACGGAAGTAGATTCTCTGCCCCCCACGTAAATCGTGGAATTCGTCATTGCCGAATGAGTTCCACTATCAGTTGTCTCACACAAACTGTAAAACCGAGCTCACATTCATCTTTGTCATCCGAAACCTAATTAGCTGTCCTTCACACATTAACCACATTGGACCTTGTGATTCGTGCTTCCGTCGTATTAAAGGGGTCGCTGACCACAGAATACAACATAAAATAGACCCAAGAGGCTGCACACAAACGCATCTTTTTGTAATAAAAAGATTCAATAAAACTATATACTACTGAAATTCCCCACACAAAATCCGACTGAACAGCTCAAAACAATCCACACTAGACAAAGTATGCCGAAGTTGACCTCTTCGTATCTGTGCTTCACGCACATACCTTGTACCGGTCTCTATACGGACGGACTCTGCACACTGAGAAGGAACGCTACCTAATTCGCAAAGCTTACGAGTGAGTGTAACTGAGGGTCACTACCATCATGCTTGGACGCTTTTCGTACTTTACGTTATTCCGAAGGGCCAGCCCTATCGTGGTTCATGTGCACAACGTTTCACAATGCTTCCAGTGCTTTCTGAAACTCCAAAAACACCGATAAGTTTTGTCCTCAGACTGATTGTACAAAAACACCGCAGCAGGTATCGAGATAAAACCATCAACGTTGCAGCAAAAAGCAAAATTTACGAATGTAGGTGTGACGTCGGGGCCACACCTTTCAGCACCACCTCGTATCAAACACAACGTCTCACCAAAACGAACCATAAAGATAGGATGTGAACCCCACGAACCAGTATAGGTACTAATGAGTCAGGAGACACCAACGAGTTTGCACTTGTATCGTTAGACTTATGGCCGAATGACGAATCAGGCTGGATGATTGTGAGTGAACCGGTTGTGTACCGAAACCATAGGGTCTACCTACAGCCGAACATTCCGATGTTATGTACTCCAACCCGAATAAAATAGCGAAATCGGAACACAAACTCACTCGCTTCACTTTAATCTCCTGATTGTCAAACTTGGCACCTTGCAACCCCTCAACCAGCCGAGTTGCAGATTCGACGGATTCCATAACCAAGTATGCATAGATCGAAGGTGGTGTGCTCTTACGGCTTCCGATTATCTTGATCGTCTGAACCTAGGAAGGCAGAGTCAAGTAGGAATTTGTACATCTCAAAGAGAGTTTCCAGTGTGTAAATTTGATATATCACGCGAAAATGTGCATATAAATAGTCAATACTGAGTACTCCACACAAGTGAACAACATGCGGATAAACTACAAAAGCAACGCGAGTGAAGGGGGGGGGGTGGAATTTCTCGCGGTCAATAGTTGGAATATAGAAAGATGTGGCTTTTATGAGTAATCGACCGAGGGAATGAAGAGCATCAAACGAAGCTTGTTGTTGGAGAAGGCAGTAAAACACAGGCATTCCACGAAGTCAAGCATTATTGGAGATCCCGGGTCAACCAGAGAGGTGTTTTTCCGAATTGCCAGTAGGACTGCAGTTATCCTCAAGGAGTTCCAGGAGACGGACGGAATCAAATGAGGATGTATACAAGCATTTGATTACACCTAGAAACTCTACAGTAGGAGTTCTGCGGGGAAGGGCACCGAAAGCAATGTAGGGTTGGTGAGTATTACATCGGATACCTTATCTTCGAATGACGGTAAGATGACATCTTGGTATTTTGGGAGGCAGTCTAGGGCAATCTAGAGGCAGCTATATGAAGTACATTCAACTTGATGAAGATGCTCAGTTAGATCTCCGCCAAACCGTAGTCCCAGCCATTACACGCAACGCAGCATTCAGTGCCCTGTCACGCGAAGAAAAGGAAGCAATGAAAAAGCTAAAGAAAGACGAGACAATCGTCATTCTACTGGCCGACAAGGGACGCCTGACAGTCATCATAGACTAGACAGTTTGTTCGAAAGAATTTTCAATCACAGACGTGTTTCGGGCTGTATTCAGTCCTTATGTAGTGAGCCCATTGAAAATGGGTGAAGAAATTAGCCATAGGCATGAAAAGAGCAAAAGGTGAGATGGCCAACGTTGGGGAAGACCTGCCGGTCATGATTGTGCATTGTTTTCGCCTCGTGATGTACTCTGCGCCAAAAAACCTGCAGTAAACATCCTCTATCAATCATCACCATCATCATCACCAGCTGTAAGAGCCGCGTACTTATCGTACAGTGGTTATAACTGCCACAGTTTCGTCCACTGATGAGTTGGGAAGGTAATGCTGTGGTAATGGCTATCATACTTCGCTGCCAAGTCATTGTTTAACCTTCAATGGCTCGTTTCGACGCTTCGCGTGGTTATGCGAAAAGGGCGCTTGGAAGAAGTCGGCCAACTGGCATACGCAGAACGTAAACAAGCCAGCGCAACCTATAGAGTATGATCAGTTCATCTATCACAGGTGGTTTATTTCTTTCGAAAACCACTCAACGTAATTCAATATCACTGATCCAGTATTTCCAAAAGATTCGGGCGATGCTCCGAAGACATCGATGGTCAAACACTGAAAGTTCTTTGACGTCCTCAGCGTCCAACGAGCAGGTTTCTGACCCGGATAATAATATGCAACGCACCGTAGCACTGTAGACGATTCTTGACAGATAAGCTGATGTCACGTCTACGCCCCACAGGTGATGCACGTTCACAAAAGCTGCCCAGGTCTTCCAAATCCGAATGGAAAATCGTCCTTAACTAGACCTAAGTAGACAAACTTGTCCACTACCTTAGGTACCTTATGTGCAGGCAAGAGTCGGGTTCGATCCCACCCGGTCTCGCAGGAGCTATTCGCACTTTTTAGGTGTGAGACACATGGGAAACCATGAGGCAGAATAATTTAGATTATTTATTATTGGTTGTATCGTCACGATATCTGCGAGAGAATGCCCCGGGAGCACTTCGAACACACGGAAATCAGAGGCTGGTAGTAAGTCTTCCATAATCATATTAGTGATGAAGTTGAGGGGCAAAGTTGAAAGAAGACACCACTCAATGTAGTGCACTCAAAAGACGGCTTTCTGTAGACCTTAACGCGTCCGCAGGAGTTGGCGTACAGCGTCTGAAGGAGGTTCAAGAATCTAAGGGGGAACCTTTAATCCATAGACACTGCCATGGTGCTTGGCGGTCCACAGAGTCAAAGGCAGCTTTCAGATCAAGAAAAACAACCATTGTTGGTTGTTGGAAGCAGTGTCACTGTTCCAGAATCTGTCGGAGGGTGGAGATATGATCGATACAACCTCTTGCAGGACGGAACTCAGCTTGGATTCCACGGATCTGCCTCTCTCTGTGTTCAATCAACCCTCGAAGGATAAGGCCAGAGAGCACCTTCGATGCAACAACTAACAGGGTGATGCCACGGTGCATTTCACATAGCGTCCGCGTACCCTTTTTGTCGACATGCCCCATTCTGCAGGCACTTTTTCTTCGTTTCATATCGCACCAAAAGGCTTTGTTAGATGGGACACCAAGGATTCTCCCCTTCTTTGAAGAGGACTGGACACAGACCGTCCGGTCCTGGTGTCTTCTCACGTTTTAGCATCGATATTTCATACTTCATTTCTGCTTCCGACGGCGATTAAGGTTTACATTCCACTTGCCCATATGCACTATCTCCGCAGGCTGGGTCGAAGGAGGCTAGCTAAACTGTTCTTCGAAGTGTTCGACCCATCTTTCCAGTCGACGGTTTTGCGAATGAATTAATGAACCACGTTTTTCACTTATCGTTTCGCTGACCGTTGCTTTCCTAGGGCCAGTCGATCGTATCAGTTGATAAAGGGCACGGCTGTTCCCCGTAGCAAAAGCCTTCTCCATCTCCTGGGCTTTTGGTGACCGCCAAAGATCTGTCCTTCCTTAGGTTATTGACTTTTGAGAGGTTTACGTGCGGCGTCGTTGCTTGCTGATATGAATTTCCAAGCATCATCTGTCAAAGTGGTGTTTCCAGGCAACGTAGAACTTATGGTGAGACCAGCGCTCTACAAGCTGACAACACTATTGATCAGTGGTGATACAGATTTGAGAAACCACCACCATCCAGCCAATCAACAGAGCCTTTCACTAAAAGCGACTTCGGGCTTTCAGTGTCCAATTAGCAGCGCTCAGTGTTCTAGTTTAGTTGGAACAATCAACAACTTCAAGCAATGATCGGTCAACTCCAATTACCGCACAATCAAATAAGATAACGGACCAATCACGAATGAAAATAGTTGAACATCCAAAGAAGCATCCGAAAAGCAACGAATAGCCTTGTTTTCGATCTATTGAAAAAAAAACATTGTTTCGCGTTAGTAAACTGAAAATTCCCTGGAACGAAGTAAGGATTTTTTGATAGAACAGAACACTAAAATCCTAACAGCATTGGTTTTGTATTTAGCGCTGAAGAAAACGATCGGACTAAGTACGCAATAGCATCTACCTTGGGGCGAAACTGAGGATAGGCAAGTCTGGGTCCAATGAGGTACTCTTTTTCCCATTCAACAGCATTCTTTCAAACAGCTTCGGAACAACGGGTGTTCAAGCGACTGGTCTTAACTTTGTTGACGCTTTCTCCATTAGGGGTGTTATCTTTGTCACTAGTGAACAGTCGGGAATTGTCTCAATGGGAAAACAGTCAATGGACTGAACAGATATTAACTCTATGACGATAATAGCCAGATGGGATGGACTATAAGTGTTGTCTGAATGCGTCTCGCGGGTGTCCTCATGCACATCAAAGACCGCTATGATGTTTGTGACGATCCCATCGTTAGTGACAGTGAACGCAGCAAGTAGACTTGATAGAACTAAGAGTACAACTTTCGTCATACAGATGTATCAGGGTCCGACACAGTTCACGACAACTTGTTGCCGAGATCCACATCGACCTAGATCTTATTCACCTTGCTTTTGCAATCCTTCCAATCAATTCCATTACGAGGCGTGCTCCTTTTTCCGTCGGGAGAGGAGAACGTGTCAGTGTTGATGGTTTCAACCGGACAACAACAGCCGCAAGAGAAATGTGTTCAGGTGATGCAAAATGTTGAAGGGTCAGCAGCATAGAAAATAGGAAAGTGGTGGTCGACATCGTGTAATGTTATCTGGTGTGGGGCAGCTTCCACTGAACCTATGGTTCTCCTTAGAGTTCTCAAGGTGTAGGCTAAAAGAGGTTCGCGGAGTGCGCTCGTGAACAGCGAAGTTGTCTATAGACACTTGTGTCAGTTGGATCTTTAGTTATATGGTGAGACTTATAGTAGTAGAAAAGCCCAAAGAAGTCATGTGAGAAGAATCCGACGGTTTAATTCACCAGAAATGACGTAAAAATATCTAATCAAATAAGTTAGAATGGGGCCGAGAAACAGGCTAACAAATTCAGGAGCCGAGGCACAACGTGCAACTCAGTTTTTCAAGAAAAAGGGCCAATAACTATTTAAAAGGCAGGACTTGCACCCCAAATTTCGCAAAATTTTCGTATCCGATGAAAAGCGAGACCACTGTCTTCTCACACAACTCATGATACCACGCCCTGTAATGTTGCGCAAAGCCGATTGGTCGGTCAGTAGGAAACAGAACATGGTTCTCCAGCTGGATCGTCCAAATGTGAGTGCAACCAAGTCTCTTGGAGTATTGTTCCAGGCACGGAATCCCGGATAAAAGCGCAACCTATCACACGTTATTGGAGACCAGCGCCGTAGTCTGCATCCTTTCCAGACGTTTCTCTAGGAGTAACAGCCCATCTACCGCAGCGTATCATCTATCCATTCATTTAGCTCAAAGTGCTTGGGGGAACTCAGGCTTCCAGCAGTTTCTCACCCTGTGACCGGATTCCCTTGCCCCAAGACGCATGCGGATTTCAAGTAACCTGGGCTGTAAAAGTGTCAAGATTTTGAAAGCGCTGTAATGGAACAAAAGTTAAGCCAAAGTGGAACATGAGATGATCCACGGTGGATTTGCGAAAAAAAGGTGCAAAGTTGGAGAGCAAGGTCGATTTGAAGGTCAAGAGAAATAAACAAATGGAAGTTCGTACGAGAGCCATCAGATCAAGGACTCAACATACCGCCGACCAAAGAATACCGCTGTTACCTTGCCGTTTGGGACACTGAACGACGGTAAACTTGGAAGCGTTATGATTCGCCTTTACTCATCATATGGCATAAACGCGAAAAAGCAATGTGAAATATGCAAACTTGTTGAGTCGACAGACACACATCGAAGCTACGCGGAGCAATACAGCGGGAACGCGGGAAGCATCTTCAAGTCTACATGGTTGAGAGGTAAGCTCTCAACGGTATGATCAGTCATGAGAAATTCAGTGGACAATGAGGCCGAAATCACGCACCCAAACCGAAAACGAGCTTCTTCCAGTGAACAGGGAGGCTATGATTCTACCAAATGAAAAATTACGCACTATCAGTGTGAGGGATTGACAGCAACCTGAAGTATTTTCGAAATACAGGGGGCTGATACACCAGAGAAAACCCAGAACGAGTTAGTCAACCGAACCGAAAGTGTAGCAATAAACCGATCGGGGAGAAACTCGTCAACTAATATCAACAACGATACGATAAAATCGGTTGATATGAAGCTCATACGACTGCGAGATTTCAATTCCAAACTACAGAGACATTTGTAGCACATGCGGTCTACGAATCTGTCTAATTTCTCCCGAGCACACAAGGAAATTCTCTTGGCGGCAGCGTGGTTGAACAATCTGAAAAATCAAATGGCTGACGCCCCTCTAAAAGAGACACAACTAAACTTTACTTTTTCTCGAAGGATCACGAGATTGGTCCATTAACTCGGTGCATTTCTAAAATATCCAACTTAGGGATTCATCGAAATGCGATAGCACCTCAAAAGTTCGGGCATATCAGACCCGTATACCTTTACTGAGGCATACAAGGTGGATTGGTCTACTTGGCCTCGCATTGTCGTTGACAGTCCTCATGCATCTGCTCGGAATTAAGCATGTTCTGTTCTCATCAGCTTCTGACTTGATCAGGCAACTTGGAACGTCAAGAAGACCGAGCTGGTATCCGAACTAGTAAACGGTTCTCACGAATGTTTTCTGGATATTATCGACGAAGGTCAGAGCACGAAAACTGGGGCTGGTCGGGTGGTTGTGGAGGACCATTAGGTGACGCATTGGTTGACAGCTTCACACCATTGACCCTAGGATCTGAGTCAGCAATCAACGGGAGTATGTATGCACACCAATGGTTCCAGACCTATTTCGCATCGCGTAGTCCTTTCACAACATTGCAAAAGGTCATTTCTCATAGGGCGTTTTCTGTGCCCGAAACGGGGATCTCCCAGAAACATTAAAACTACCAATAAGTAATGAAACATAGTAATCTAGGTTGCAATTGATTTCTTCGGACGACGCGCAATTTTGCTGATTTAGAGAGATGTCAGTCATTTGGTGGCTTACAGTGGGCTTCCTTGTGGCCAATTTTAGAGTGCTAAAGAGAACACACACCATCTACAGTCCTCACGGCTTTGCACGTTTCCTTTATTCTGTAGTCCGGTTGGAAAGTCTGACTGAAGTAGGTAAATTGATAAAAGTGCAAAGCATCGACAACCATGTCTGCCAAGCTAAGGTAGGTGACACCGATATTTTTTGTTTCGCCACACAGGGGATAGTTTGCTGAAAACCCACGTGGCACAGAAATAAAGTTAAACCAAGTGCAAATCAAACGATATGGCCACTAGGGTCACTGCACTACTCGTATACAGTTTAACACTGACAGTCATTATTGCGCTTAAACCAACTTACGGTTCTATTGGAAACTAACCGTAACCACTAGGCTTGTCATCATTCCAGTGATAAAAAACATCGATACGAGATTCCTCTATAGCTTAAACCCCCAAATATCAAGGCGAGGATCCAACTAATCCCCTCAAGCAGAACTTAAGTCATAGGCAACTGCCACGGTAACAGCCGGGAGGGTGAGTCGCGGATAGAATAAATCAGACAAGATTACGTACAAACACCCTAACGAGACAGGCCTCTCTGTACCAGGGACAGTCCATCTAACAGTGAAGTTATACGAGTTGTCCTGCAGAAAGCGGATGGACATCTAAAGAGGAATTTCCGAGTGCTTCGACCAATGAAAACCCCTGTGTTTGGATCCCATGTACGACCGGTGTGCTAACACGACGGGGACCAGTGTAATGAAAAACGAAACCAGTTAACTTTGCAACGTAGTGCCCTTATACACGTCCTCATCACGTACCTGGCATCAGTAACCAAAGACATCAGGTAATTGGCCGTTATCAAGGTATAAGGGCAAGTGTCCAATGATAAATGAAACAAAAGTACAACACTCCATTAGTTGGTGTTTCCAAGCTTTGGATGTTAATCGATCTTCGATCTTTGAAAGCCTCCAACTGACAACCAGTGATCTGTGCAGCTGACGCTACACCAAACTAAAAGTTGAGTCCACAAGACGATGGCAACCTATATCGATTACGAAGAACTTCACTTACTCGACCGAAGGGAGTACAACGCTCTTTGACGTCGACGGCTTTCACGCCTTGTGGAAGATTGCTGATCCATATACATTTGGAGGACTTAACTGAAAAATGGAAACAGACAAGTGATACTGATTCTGAGTCGGAAAAAATATTGACAGATAGAAGTCAAAAGATCATGGTTTGCGTATCAGAAGTGGTACAGGTCACCAGACGAAGCGTAAATATTGTATGCAATTTGAAGACCTGACCTCTGCCTCTCGACTTCCTCTGTCTAGGCTTGGGCAACCTGGTAGTATCCCACCCCTCGTGCTTTCTTCTGGTGGCATAGCAGTTAGGCACCGAAAAGGGTGCTACAGCTCAACGAAGAGGTTGGTGACCATTTTATAAGTTAATATCCGTCACGGATTCGCAATAGTATAGCGAGTATACCGAAGTTCTACCACAGAACAAGCGAAATCCAATTTACCAATTTGCTGCTTAAAATACACGTTGTCTTGATGAGGAAATGTGCAACACAGGTCTTGTCGAACGGTCCTCCCAGTGATGAGGGTGTTTGCTTATACCGCTAATATTTCAATTGCAAGAAACATCCATCACCAGGCAGTGAGGTGGGTCGGCAGTGTGTTGCGCATACAGAATCATCGTCTAACGAGCCTAGCGCTCTTCAGAATCTCGTAAGGTGTAAGGTAGGTCACTGGTGACATGAGAAAAAAAACGAAACTGCGAAGAGTTCAGGTCGCCTTCCAGACTGGGGTCCCATGATCCTATGAATAGAGGTTGGAAAGTATGCCTACTAACCGATATCAATGGTGTTCATACTGTTAACCTATGTCCGGATTGTACGATAGAGCATCTGAATGTGTAAGTACTCAGAATGACTACGGTAGGCTAGCTCGAGATAGCCTAATGATTGAGGCGCAGACTTACTGACCGGAAAGTCCGTGGTTTGAGTTCAACCTCTGCATCTCGACGATTGCTGCCTAGGTTTGGGCAGCCTGGCAGTGTCTCAGCCCTCGTGCGTCTTTCGGGTGGTATGGCAGTTATGCACCGAAAGGGTGTCAGAGCTGAAGGACTATTACAGCAGGCTGGCATCAGTTCTACTGGATGCCTTCCTTTATTTCGACCTTGGGACTTTTCAAGACAAACCATCAGTAATTGTGCAGCATTTAAGCATCAAAACCGATATTCGCTGTGACAATGATTGTGATAATGGTGAACTGTATCTGTCCATAACTTTCCAGCTGACGGAAGTAGTATTTCACTGTGGACACGGCTCGTCAAGAGCAAGGCAGATAAAAACTAGGGGTAATTTGCTTTGCGTGCGGAGAGCGTTGAACTGTTTCACAGATGGCGAGATGGCCCAGGTGGTTAGGGCGCGAATTTACTGACCGCAAGGTCCGTGGTTCGAACCCGACCTCTAACTCTCGACTTCCCCAGTCTAGGCTTGGGCAACCTGGCAGTATCCCAGCCCTCGTGCAACCTTCGGGTGGCATGGCAGTTAGGCACCGAAATGGTGTTACAGGTGGACGATTTCACAGATATTCCACGGGAGAGGCACGGGGAAAACAGAGTGATCCAGAGAGAGGCGAATGATGACGCAAAGTAAAACGAACGAAATAGTTTGGATAGAAAATACCGCGAGAACTGCTTGACAAGCCAACACACGACCAAGTCACTCACTATCATCGCTGCTTGGTGGTGCTGTCGCCTTGGGAGCCTCAGTAGTTGGTTGCTCTGCTGGCTGTGTTGTTTGAGCATAAACTTTGACGTCTGACGCGGTGTCCTGTTTTTCATTATCCGTTTTGACACTTGCTTCACTGTTCACTTTCTCCGACAACTTGGGACGCTTCGAAGCAGAAGAGTTCTCGTCCTCTTTAGTCTGTGAGGCCTGAAAAGAACAAAAACAGACAATTATGGGAAATACCACCAGAGTACCGCGTGAGTGTCGGTTGTCCGAAAAAAAATAAACAGGGGACTGTTAGAGAATGCACAATGTGTCCAAATCTGTCTCAATGACGTCTGCTTAGGTGTCAAAGGAGGGGATGAATTCCCAGGGGCATCGCAGGGAATTTCAATCCAAATATCACCAATAAGCGAGTCATCTACAAGAGATATCCCAGTGGTGGTCCCATTTGACAGAAAAACAACACACTGCCTTACACTGGGCTGCAACTATTTCCTTTCGTATCAGATCATCAGGTTGGATAGAGTGGTAACTGAACCCATTGTATGGTGACTGTGAAGATAACCTTGTACCCGAGTGTCAGGAGGCGCCCGGACATGGAAAAAGTACATGTGCAGAGAGTGATGCATTTCCCAGGTCACCATCGGTACGACACGTTCGGAAAGCAGGTGCTTTGACGGGGCTTACCAAACACGTCTTAGCAACATAAAACCAATGGAGTGGGGCCGAAATTGTTCACGACCGGAACACCACCATTGGCTGTACAGAACAAGTGAACGACCATATTTGGCCGTCTAGTGATCCTATGTATTTATGCAGAAGCTCTATATGTTTTGTTCTGACGATACAACCGTGTCCAGAGTTCTCTGTCTTCTTATCCCGCAGTCTGGCTGGCTCAGTGCAAGCGCAACCAATAGACGGTAGCCCACGATACAACACCGAGGCATGTGACTAATGACCTACAGGAAAAAATGATCCATTTCTGTGCGACCCTCTTTCAAACGGACTGACGAAATAGGAATATAAACGGGAAGGGGGTTGCCGGTGCGCACAGAAGTTTCTAGTTGCTGTAACTAGTTTAAACACCTTCACCTTAGCTAATTTTGGTCACGACATCTTGGGCTAATCACCGGTAGGCAGTGACACATGCATGGCAGATAGTAAGGCGAGTTGAGCACTGCTGGTGTGTGCGCGTCGGTTGGAGTTAGCCTAACCTACACTGCTTGTATGGTCTGCCAAAAGCAGTTAGAATTTTACGTCAGAAAACCAATACACTGAAACTTCAACTGACACTCAGTCTTTAACCGGTCCCAATCACCACACATTCTAAAGTTTTCGAGTTAGAACGGGAGAGAAACATGCGATATTGATTATTGATCAAGTGTCTGTCCATAAGTTTGCTGAGTTTAGCAATTCATTTGCAAACGTTTCGATACCAAACGAGGAGACCATCCAACTACGCATTGATGATGTCTCCTCGTCTGGTGATTAAGTGTTTGCTGATCAACTGAGAGGCTCGAGGAACAAATCAACAGCCACCAGATCAACAACCAATAAACGCAGCCGAACTACGAATATTTCGAGTCACTGCTGAACATGCGATATCACGTGAAATATATCAGTTCGATTGTTACGAGGGGGTCCTCGAAAAACTGTCACAAAAATGAGGTATTGTAGACAGCAGTTGCCAAACACGGTGCCTGGTGACAAGAAGAGAAATGGGAAACAAACAGAACGGAGACCTTTGCCAAAAAAATCTCCAATATTCTGGAGAGGATATTCGAAAACAGATATACGCCTGTAAGTTTTAACGATGTAGGACCTTGCTTGCTTGAAGAATAATCAGCACACCAGGTTGGTTGTTAGAAACCGCGACCGAAAGTAAGAAATAAAAACAGTAGACAAGTGGTAGAACGACTGGATTACATGATAAACAGCAAGGAGCAGCCATGCGCTGGAGATCACGATTAGTTTGAAGGAGTGCGGGCCCTGAAAAATCAAATCAATTGACTGTATGACCGAGTCTCGTTGACCCATCGTAAAACTACACAGGTCAACCGCCAGCCTCATTCCCAAACAGGACTAGAGCTACTGATACTGATCAACTCAATTTAAACACCGATAGTGATATCAGACTGAAGATGTGCTTCTTGTTGGAACTGATATGGAACGATGTAAGGGCGATATTGACCAGGTGGCTTATTCACCTTTGTCTGTGGATCTGAAACCGACTCCCTCTTTTAGCGCTGAGCACCGCTGACGGTGTCCCCCTTAGAAATGCCAAAACCGCCTCATACTACCAACACAGATGAACTTTTCGTAAGATTACGACTCCACGAGCGTGTACAACATCGCGGTTACCTGACGATTGACCCTATAATATTCCGCAAGCAGATCATATCGTTCCACTGCGGTTGCTTTCCATGCGTAGATGCAATATGACTCACGACCAGCAAGACAGCTGACTTAACAAAGACCACTCGGGCTCAAATAAACCAAGGGCTAGGATGTCAACCTTGGGTTGGCGTTCTCTGAAATCGCACCTGACTTGTTATTTGGTCGTAACAAGGAACCCGGCAGTCTGGGCGACGTGTATAGCGGACATGCATTGGAAAACACGCGAAATTCAGGCGACTGAATTCTACCAAATTTTCCAGTTCCACAGCGTGGTCACAGAAGCTATCAACCGTGTCCTGACTTCTGTGTTGTGTCAGTGATGAAAAGGATAATCGCTCAGCTGTAACACCCTTTTGGTGCCTAACTTCCGTGCCAGGTTGCCCAAGCCTAGACAGGGGAAGTCGAGATCCAGGGGTTGGGTTCGAACCACGGACCTTCCGATCAGCTAATTCGCGTTCTAACTACTGAGCTATCACAGTGAACTCATTGCCCAGTTGTTCTCGGTTGTCTCACTCCGTTGAACTTGAACCCGGACAACTCAGTTCTGATCGATATGACCATCACGGTCATTTCATTGCATCATATCACAAGGATGGCAGTTAGAGGTCCCAAGTACAAGCCTAACAGTACGAAGGTCGATTTGACGCCTACTATCGATAGAAAACTGATTTTGATACTCGTACTTCGCCGAAGCATAACTAGTGTTTTCATTCGGAAAAGAACACCAATTTAACCTTACACAGTTAGGTATGCTCACGTGTTATCAGATAAGAAAACAATTCACATCGGTTTGCAGTAAAGCGGTCACAGTCAAGAAGTCACACTGACGTTGCCTGCAAAACTTGGCTAAGCAAATGACCTAAGTACTCTATCGCTCTTTGAAAATCATTATGGATACATAATAAATCGTTCTTACAGGGCTGAATATGCTTTCAAAGAGCTGCAAGCGGCAATCACAACCGACTCACCTTCGGAGGAACCGGTTTTTCTTCCTCACCAGACACACTGGTTTTGGTTGGGCTGATTGTTGCTGTTTCAGGTGGATTGATTGCTGCACCCGGCTTGCTTGGACCGTTTGGAACCATAGAAGCATAGGCTTGCATATAGTAGCGTAGATAGTAGTCCATGTAACGCTGCCACAGGGCAGAGTATTCGGGAGTGTTTGGAGCTGGACCCCCATTCTCTGGCGGAGGAATGGTGCCCACGGTTTGTTTATACGCTGCAGCATAGGCTAAACTGTAGTTCGATCTGTCCGCAGACAGTGCGGGAGCTGGGGGTGGTATATTTTCGGACCGAGGTGTATGGGGTGGAACATGAGCCTCTGAACTCTTCGAGGATGCATTCGGATCACCAGAGGGCACGATGGGATAGTGAGTGGCATTCGAATCACCGGGTCTTCGGACTGGTGGTGCCGGCTGTGGAGGTCCGGGCTGTGGGAGCAGAAGTGATACCGGCGGCGGTTTTGGAGGAACAGCTAGCGGTAAGTTCATTCAATGCTGAAACCACTTTGGCAGCAGCGCGCTCGTAAAATTCACAAGCTTTTTGGTACATTTGATGCATCTGAAAACAGGTAGAAACTAAATATTGTGGGCGGCCAGGAAAGTGAAATGCGTGGAAGTTCGTATGCCTTTTTTTGAAATGAATGCGCTCTTATAGAGTCGATTCGCTGATGATTGGCCATGGAGCTGATGGACACCAGAAGACTGATGCTGAAAAGGAATTCCCAGTCCGGTCCAACTGTGGACGACAGGCAGCGCACGTCTAACACGAAAAAACCTATCAAAAGATCCAATGTTTTTACTAACTGACTTTAAAAGAACCGTTCAGCTGTAACACCCTTCCGGAGCCTAGCTGCCATGCCACCCGAAGGAAGCACGAGGGCTGGAATACTGCCAGGTTACTCAAGCCTGGACAGGGGAAGTCGAGGGGTAGAGGTCGGGTTCGAACCATGGACCTTGCGGTCAGTAAATCTGCGCTCTAACCAGCTGAGCCATCTCGCTGACTTTTACTGAGATTCTACTGAACTGCCACGTATATATTTAGAGGATCGTCAGGTCCAAAAAGCAGCTCCGGTGGTAAACACAGACGCCGCTCCATGTACGCTCTAACGTTTCCCATGTCCCCAACAGTTGAAACGATTCGTCAACATTTCAGACCTTCCTAACGCACACAAGGACATTTGTGACTTCATTTTCGCACTTTTGGCATGCGTTTATAGGCAACGGATGGTTAAAAACCCAACAGTCTAACCTGAGAGGGACTCGCATTGGCGGAGAGTAGCCACATGGACCACAAAAGCCTGCCAGAAGTCGACAGGGCTCAGTATACATAAAAATCAATTGACACAGTTGCCGTAGTTTGGTCTGAGAAGTAAATTCGTAGAGAAGCCTAACTTGGCGGCTCGTTCATATGAGAAGATCTAAGAAAGCATCTAATAAGGATCAGTCGTTCAAGCTCTCTGGACTGAGCATTTGGGAGCCATTCAAACAAAGGTGGTGTTTGAACTCTAAACGTGAACTGTGGATTCATGCAAATCTGTAAGATTGTGAAGTTAGCTCAGTGCATGGAAAACGTGGAAGAGGATCCCGGCCAAGTAGCTTGCTTACTCGTTCAATTTCTTCTTGCGACCCAACTGCTGTCAACGGTGGTGCGGGGAGGCCAGGCAGTTGAGGCTTTGGGAAAGGAAGTGGGGGAGGACCATTCGGTAGTTCCGGCCGTGGAGGATAATGAGGTGGAGGTCCCAGACGCTCGTGAGAATCTACAGTGGTAAGGAAGGCTTCTCGATAAGATCTGAGTACGGTCAGCGAGCACAATGTAGTAAGAAAATGGAGATAAACGACACTGTACCATCTCTGACACCCATTGGGTGTGTATCAACACAAAGAAAGCATGGGGGTAAGATAATGTGACTTGACGCATTCAGAAGCAAGATTGTGAAGCTCAGTGCATGGAAAACGTGGAAGAGGATCCCGGCCAAGTAGCTTGCTTACTCGTTCAATTTCTTCTTGCGACCCAACTGCTGTCAACGGTGGTGCGGGGAGGCCAGGCAGTTGAGGCTTTGGGAAAGGAAGTGGGGGAGGACCATTCGGTAGTTCCGGCCGTGGAGGATAATGAGGTGGAGGTCCCAGACGCTCGTGAGAATCTACAGTGGTAAGGAAGGCTTCTCGATAAGATCTGAGTACGGTCAGCGAGCACAATGTAGTAAGAAAATGGAGATAAACGACACTGTACCATCTCTGACACCCATTGGGTGTGTATCAACACAAAGAAAGCATGGGGGTAAGATAATGTGACTTGACGCATTCAGAAGCAACCAAGACGTAACAGGTAGGTTGTGCACCTTCCCACTCAGTGATCGTGTCTTGACAACGAGACCCCCAAACTACTTCCAACAGCATGGTTCTTCACTTAAATTGCTATAACTTTCTTCCGTCAAAGTTCGCAAGAGTTGGCACAAAATGTAGTGGAGAGTATGCAATCCAAATTTCATTTCAATCGGCTGCACAGTCTGTGTCGCACGACACAAGCTGTGACAGCACCCGACCCGGTTTGAAGACGATTCTGCCAACGCTTGAGCGCAACACATTCATCTAAAGACCAGACTGTGTATGCCCACCCCTGTTTACATTTATCTTGCCGATGGGGGAAACCTCAGAGTGTAACGGCTGAGCAAAACGGTGAATGGCTTATCTGCCGTCCTGGTCTGGAATCACATGAGATGAACGCATCCGTATTGGCTGAAGGATACGGTCGTTATCAAGACATGTGCTTGAAATTTTAACCTAGCTTTAGGGTGAAGGATATGGCCACATGGAGATGCTTACTAGTACAAAATAACCAACCAGAACAATTATGTGATATAAGGCTCTGCTTTTGTTGGCTTCTCAGGGTCTGGGTTCTGTACTACAAGATCACTATGGAACTCTCATTTAGACAGATGGGAGAACGTTCAAACCAAGTCGATTTAAGTTTAATTTGTTCATCTTTCCATTGTGATCAAAGCAAAATGTACATATGACTGAGTTGGATGTGCTTTCTTCCCCAAATCTGCCTTCTTACTGACAGTGGAAGAATTGTTGCTGACACCAAAGGAGAGATTGTTAGCACAAACAGAAGATGTGCAGTGAAATACAGTGTACGACAAACTCATTTTCGGTCGATACGACTGGGTTTAAACTCAAAAGTCATTTAGTTGTTTAAACGTTTCAAAAATGAACTATACCACATACAGTGTACAACTCATTTTCGGTCGATACGACTGGGTTTAAACTCAAAAGTCATTTAGTTGTTTAAACGTTTCAAAAATGAACTATACCTACCA